TTTCTGAAATGGAATTTTTGCTCTTGTTGCCCAGGCTGGAGTGCAATGGCGCAATCTTATCTAACTGCAACCTCTGCCTCCAAGGTTCAAGCAATTCTCTTGCCTCAGCCTCCCTAGCAGCTGGGATTACAGGCATGTGCCACCGTACCCAGCTAATTTTTGGTATTTTTAGTAGAGACAGGGTTTCACCACGTTGGCCAGGCTGGTCTCGAACTCCTGACCTCAGGTGATCCACCAGCCTTGGCCTCCCAAAGTGCTGGGATTACAGGTGTGAGCCATCACTCTCAGCCATTTTTTTAAAGAGATGGAGTCTTGTTTTATCACTCAGGTTGGAGTACAGTCGCATGATCATAGCTCAGTGTAGCTTCAACCTCCTGGCTCAAGTGAGCCTCCTACCGCCATGCACTAAGTTTCTAGGACATTTTTCAAAAACAACCATATCTGCCCCACTTCTAAAATAATCCACTTAAGAGCAGAGACCAGCAATTCATTTTCCCTCTCACTGCAAAATGAAAAGGCTAAGGGAAGGAGAATGTTTCTGGGAAAGAGCCCATTAAAGCAGACAGTATTTCTTTTTCAATTTCGAGATGCTGTGTAAGAGCTTCTTGATTTCTTTTCTTTTTTTTTCCAGATGGGCTGGAATGCAGTGGTGCTATCTTGGCTCACTACAACTTCTGTCTCCTGGGCTCAAGTGATTCTCTTGCTTCAGCCTCCTGAGCAGCTGGGATCACAGGCATGCACCACCAAGCCCGGCTAATTTTTGTATTTTTGGTAGAGACAGGGTTTCACCATGTTGGCCAGGCTGGTCAACTACTGACTGACCTCAGGTGATCTGCCTGCCTCAGCCTCCCAAAGTGCTGGAATTACAGGTGTGAGCCATCATGTCCCACCTTAGCTTCTTGATTTCTTACATGAGCAAGAAGAACCACTGCAAACCCCACATGGTCCACTAGAATCTAGGAAAGTCACCCGTCCCCCTGCCAATGTGAATCTACTTCTGAGAAGATACCAGGGGACAAGGGCATGAACAGCTGTGAGGATGCCAGTTTCTGCATCTTGCCAGGTACCATACAAACCTTTGCTGTTTTCAAAATGCCATCGTTGGTCGCTGGATTTGTGGTGACGACAAATTGCCCCTCATTATCATTCAATATGGTGTATACAGCCTCCCACGCTGGGGTGTTGGGGGCGTCAGCGTCAGTCACTTTCAGTGTGGCAATTTTGAAGTTAGCCTCATTCTCAGGCACCTGACCCTGGTACTACAGAGCAAAGAGACGGGTCATTTACAACATACCAAGAGTGCTAGCGGAGCCAGGTCTCAGGGGATTAAAGGAATCCTCTTTTGTTGTTTTTTTGAGACAGGATATCACTATCACCAGGCTGGAGTGTAGTGGAGCGATCATGGCTCACTATTGCCTCGACTTCCTGGGCTCAAGCAATTCTCCCACCTAAGCCTCCAGAGTAGCTGGGACCACAGGCATGCACCACCATACCTGGCTAACTGAAAGCAAGCTTCAAGGAGAAGATGGTGACGAGGAAAGGCCAGGGCATGGGCACACTGGAGTGCAGTGGCACAATCTCGACTCACTGCAGCCTCCGCCTCCTGGGTTCAAGCGATTCTCGTGCCTCAGCCTCCTGAGTGGCTGGGATTACAGGCACATGCCACCATGTCCAACTGATTTTTGTATTTTTAGTAGAGACGGGGTTTTGCCATGATGGCCAGGCTGGTCTCGAACTCCATCTTCAAGGGATCCACTAGCTTTGGCCTCCCAATGTGCTGGGGTTTCAGGTGTGAGCCACCACACCTGGCCATAATGCAGGATGATTTAAACTTCCCCTACCTGGCTATCAATACCCTTGCCTGGAATATGTATAATATCGTTGGCATTCAATAATTCTCATGTCTTCCTAGCTATACTAGAAACACCATGAGATGGAATCTTTGTCTGCTTTCTTTTTGATGGTACCTGCAGTGTCTCATCAGTGCCTAACATAAACTTAGAAAATATTTGTTCAATGAAGAAACGAAACCCAGTAAAATTTTCTTTAAAAACGTACAGTATGAGGATATGAAATCAGTAGGTGCTTTTTGCAACTTTACAATCTTGTGCCAATTGGCCCCACGCCAAGGGAGGAAAAAAGATGCTAAAGACAACAGCCACCCCAAGATGATTGCTTTTCAGTTTAAAGTTAACATTCACTAGTCTGGAGAGAGTTTTCAAAGACTTCGCCCATGAGCAGTGGTGAAACTTAGTTCACGAACAACAAAAGACCTTTCTTTGGAAACCCTCTAAGGAGTTGCAGAATTACCGTGGTGGGATTGAAGATCGGAGGGTTATCGTTGGCATCAGTGACTGTGATCACAGCTGTTGCTGTTGTGCTTAACCCATCTCCTTGAAGGTCAGCAGCCTGAACCACCAGGGTATATGTAGGGAAAGTCTGCAGAGAGATCAACACAACCAAGTCAGGGCCAGGACCACCAGCCACCTCTGGCCCAGCTCGGCCCAACACATGGAACCAGAATAGTTAACCATCTGCTTCATGCCATTCTGCCTGTCTTCTAGGCACAGAACCTCTGGGCAGAAGCTCAGATGCAAAGTTCAGACCATCACCATATTAACCGGCAACTGGCCTAGGAGGATTTTGCATTGTCCACGGGATTGAGCTAATACACATTTGTCCTTCACACCCTCTGGATCCTCCTGACCCCTGACCTCTCGGTCCAGCCCAGTGGTGACTACACTGATGACTCCTGTGTTCTTATTAATTGTGAACATCTTTTCGTAAGGCAGCTCAGGCGCTTGGCTGAGGATGGTGTAAGCGATGGCAGCATTGTAGGTGTTCACATCATCGTCTGCATCTGTGGCTGAGACCTCCATCACAGAGGTTCCTGGAAGAGTTCAAGGAGAGGACGGTTTAGACAAGCTGCACTTTGGGGACCTGGTCAGTGCTGCTTAATCCAATTCTGCCCTGAGGGATAAAGGAGGGGACCTGGGGGTGGTACCATGTCAGAGTTCCCCTGTTCTCTAATTCCTAGAATTCTTACCAAAGTGCTAGGGAAGGAAGAAAGCTCAAACGGAGCTGTGTGCAGAGGACTCGACTTTCCCAACCTATTTTGGGTGAGGGGTGAAGGAAGAGTATGGGGGAGAAATAAACTTAAACTCATTTTCCTCTGTCTCTTATACTGAGTGAATGGCATGTAAAGTAAGAAAAACACCAATGTTTTCCACAATCGCCTACTCAGCCACATCTTCATAAAGAGAATGATCATTGGAGATCATTGTCTTCAAGGTGGAAGAATATGTTTATAATACATGTCACTGATAAAGGACTAATACCTACAACATCTAAATGACCTTTTGGGTTTTTTTGACACAAGGTCTTATTCTGTTGCCTAGGCTGGAGTGAAATGGCACAATCATGGCTCACTGCAGCCTCAACTTCCTGGGCTCAGGTGATCCTCCCACTTCAGCCTCCCAAATAGCTGGGACTACAGGCAAGTAGTCCCAAGCACATGCCACCACCACACCTGGCTAATTTCTGTATTTTAGTAGAGATGGGGGTTTCACCATGTTAGCCAGGCTGGTCTCAAACTCTGACCTCAGGTGATCTGCCCGCCTTGGCCTCCCAAAGAGCTGGGATTTTAGGCATGAGCCATCATGCCCAGCCTAAAAATTTCTTTTTAATAATAAAAAAGGAAGATTGTTCTTAAACTGTCCCTATTTTATATGTTTCCATAGGTAGAATGCTATACACATGCAGATGACACAACAATAGTTTCCCCAGAAGCTCTGTCCATAGGAAGGGTTAGCTTTAGTTACCCAGCATTTGGGATTGGACAACACTTTGGGGTCCAAAGAACCTAAGAACCTCTGGGTATTCAGATTCTCATTAGTGGATATACCTGGAAGAGCACCTTCCATGACAGACCCGTGAAAGACCTCCTGGGTGAACTCGGGCCTGTTGTCATTCTGATCTGTCACGGTTATCACAATCTCCATTGGGTCCTCAATAGCATTCCCATTGGATGACACAGCATGAGAGAAGAGCTGAAAGAACCAAGTGAGGGTAACTTGAGTTCTGATTAGGAAGAAAACATGGGAGAAGGGGCCCAACCAGAGCAGAGAATGCTCTCCCTGCCACCACACCTTCCTGCTCTCCAAGACCCCCAGTGGGTGACTTTTCTCACACATATGCTGCTGCTGCTGCTTCAATGACAAGGTAAGACCCATGGGCTTGAGAACACCCCCACTGGCTCAGACCTCCCATTTCCCAGGGCCGGGGCATCAGGCCTAGAGACAAAGGTGGGGGCCTGAACACCTCTTATTCCAAGCAGGGTGAACATTGCTCTGGTCCTTCTAGTCTGGCATTTCCCCCAGATGTTTCTGAATTTGGCATCAATATATAACTTCCTGGTCAGGCATGGTGGCTCAGGTAATCTCAGCACTTTAGGAGGCTGAGGTGGGCAGATTGCTTGAGCTCAAGATTTCAAGACCAGCCTGGGCAACATAGCAAGATCTTGTTTCTACAAAAAATACAAAAATTAGCTAGGGGTGGTGGTATGCGCCTTCAGTCTCAGTTACTCAGGAGGATGAGGTGGGAGTGTCACTTGGGCCCAGAAGGTCCAGGCTGCAGTGAGCTGTGACAGCACCACTACACTCCAGCCTTAGTGATGTAGGTAGACCCTCTCTCAAAAAAACCAAAATCCAAAACCAAAAAAAAAACAAAAAAAATGACCTCTTGGCTTCCCTAAGCTCTTATTGCTGCCAAGCTCAAGAAATGGATTTTGCACCCTTATATCATCACTATCTTCTCCCTTTAGGTCAGGGACTTCTAGCCCCAAGAACAGGTTGACATCTTGGGTCTAAATTTGTGCTGGATGTATGAGGATGCATGAGGATTCTCCTTCCTTTTTTCTTGACAAGGAGAAAAATTAACAACTGTTCCACATTCTCCTGTCATTCCTCCTTAGCAACAGATCAAGAGGTGTCAAGTTAACCTCATCATGTGTCCAGAGCCTGGACACAGCATGTGTTGACCAAAAAATCCTGGACAGATGTTACTCCAGTGTCAACAAACTTCGAAGAGATACTTACAGTGTATTTGGCAATTTGTTCTCTATCCAAAGGCTCTGTCACCTTCAGCCATCCTGTTTCTCTTTCAATAATAAAGACACCAACAGGGGGTGTGTCAGCTCCTTGGCCAGTGATGCTGTAGAAAACCCTGGCTTCTTTATCTTTGTTGGATTTGATCTGAAGATAAAATGAAAGAAAAAGAATTAGTAAAAAAGGATCCCAACACTGGGTCTTTTCCCTTTCTCTCCTCGATACTCCTCTGCCAAATCCCTCCCAGAGAAATAGAGAACTTCTTTCTCCACCTGAACCAGGTTTTTAGGAAATGGGCCTTTTTCATTTTCTGGGCAGCTGATGGGAGGGATAACCCAGTCTCTCTTCTGTCTTCTGAGGCCATGAGAGGAGTTGGGAAATGTGAGCACTTCCACGTGGGATCCAGGAACAGAGTCCTAAAAGGAAAGAAGATGAGGAACAAGATGAGATAATTCAGGAGAGATAGTACAGGTCTAATAGTCCAACCTAGCCAGACAGCGTCCCAGCCTTCTGTGGGCAGTGTACAATGGGAACTTAGTGACACAGTCTCTTATCAATGACAAATTATATATATCCACCAAAATGACCAACCAAAACAAAAACCAATGAACCCCTCTGCTACATCATAAAGACTGTATTCTCTTTTTATTCTTCTTAGTGTCCAGAGCTCAAGTAATCATTATGTACACATGAGTGTTGGTTTCAGGGTTTGATACTATAATTTACAAGTTGTTTCAAGCATATATAATGTCATTTTTGAGACAAGGTCTGGCTCTATCACTGAGGCTAGGGTGCAGTGGTAAGATCTTGCTCACTGCAACCTCCACCTCCCAGGCTCAAGCCATCCTCCCATCTCAGCCTCCTGAGTAGCTAGGACTATAGGTGCACACCACCATGCCTGACTAATTTTTGTATTATTAGTAGATGTGGGGTTTTGCCAAGTTACCAAGGCTGGTCTTGAACTTGTGAGCTCAAGCACCTCGGCCTCCCAAAGTGCTGGGATTACAGGCATGAGCCACCACACTCAGCCCATAACGTGATTTTTAATAGCAACGTTATATTCTGATGATTAATTATCAGAGCTTATTCAACAACTGAATATTTGAGTTTTCAATGTTTTTTTTTTTCTTTTTTTCTTTTTTTTTTTTTTAAATAGAGACAGGGTCTTGTTCTGTCACCCAGGTTGGAGTGCAGTAAAGTGATCAAAGCTCACTGTAGCCTTGAACTCCTGAGTTCAGGTGATCCTCTGACCTCAGCCTCCCAGGTAGTTGGAACTACAGGCATGCAACAACACGTGTGCCTAATTTTTTAATTTTTTAAAATTTTTGTAGAGGCAGGGTGTCACCATCTTGCCCAGACTGATCTTGAACTCCTGGGCTCAAGCAATTCTCGCACTTTGGCTTCCCAATTTGCTGGTATTACAGGTGTGTACCACTGCACCTAGCCTCTTTTATGTTTTTCCTGGGGACATAGGTCCCCAAAGTGGAATTATCAGCCAAAACAAGTACATTTTGAGAACTGGTACTAAGAACTACTTTATGATCAATACAAATATCTTAATCTCATTGTATCATTACATCTATATGGTTTCCATTTGTTGTAACGGAAGCTGTTGGATGGGAGCCAAAAACACCCTTCGAGACTTGTATTGAACAGTTTTCATGTGCAATAAAGATAACTTTATGCACATGCAGGGAAATAAGAGTGTTGAAAATGGAAGGAAAATATTTGCCAAATTGTTTAAGTGTTTCAAAGTGATTACTGGTAACACAGTAAAGTTTTCAGGGGAAAATTCCATCTCTCGCCCTCCACATAAAAACTCACAGTCACTTATCACTGCTTGCCAAGTTTGAGTTCAGCTATATTTTCAGGCTTTTTTCTGCATCAGATACATGTGAGATGTGACCAGGTATCATCACAGAACCCTTCCCTGATGCTGCACAATGGCCACATGTGCACACGTGCACATACGCCTCCGCCCTCTGCCCTCTACATCCTGTGTGTGTCTCCTAGAGGCAGCCCAGCCTGCACCAAGGGCAGGCTCTGGAGCCAGGCTGCCTGGCTTTGAAGTCTCACGACAGTACCTCCTCGTCCCAGGCAGATATTACTTAACTTCTCTGTACTACAGTTTCCTAACGTCTGAAATGGGGATAATAGTAGAACTTATCTCATAGAATTCTTGGAAGGATTCAACGAGATGCTGATCTTGCACATTTAAAGCATTGAGAATAGTGCCTGAAACATAGTAAGTGCTCAATAAAGGTAGTGATACAGATGATGGTTAGACTGGTTAGAAAACACTGAGTTATGGTTTTGTTGAGATTTGATGCCAGCACAGGAACAAAATATAAACCTGACCATCAACACTGTATCCTGGGCCAGGCATGGTGGCTCACGTCTATAATCCCAGCACTTTGGGAGGCTGAGGCGGGCAGATCACTTGAGGTCAGGAGTTTGAGATCAGCCTGGCTAACGTGGTGAAATCCTGTCTCTACTAACAATACAAAAATTAGTCAGGCTTGGTGGCGGGTACCTGTAATCCCCGCTACTCGAGAGGCTGAGGCAGAAGAATTGTTTGAACCCAGGAGGCGGAAGTTGCAATGAGCCGAGATCACACCACTGCCCTCCAGCCTGGGAGACAGAGTGAGGTTCTGTCTCTAAAAAAATAAAATACAACTGTCTCCGGATCATAAGAGGCTTCCACACAGCTGTGGAAGGACTCACTGTACTGAATTTTTTTCATGTGAATAATGGGGTCCCTTGGAGACTATGACTCAAGTAGTTATGCTAATATAGTCCTGTAGTATTAGATTCCTCATTTTTCTGGTCTAATTACACCAGGGAGAAAAATCAGATCTATCAGGGGGACTATTAAGTTTCAAGAATATCAAGAGTCTTTAGGGAGAAAAGTAGGCTCCAACCTCACAGGCCTTGGCACTGATAACACATTCCACACTTCCAAAGCAGTAAGCAGGACCAACTAGAATATCCCCCCAGAGAGACATTTCGGTAGGAAGCACCACGGGAGCAGCTGAGAAACTGGCAAAGGTGATTGGCTTCGGGTAGCAAACCCTAGAAACATTCCTGCCAAGAAACTAGGCAGACAGCCATCCTTCCATTCATGGCCAATCCATCTGTCTATCTGTTCCTGGTATGGGCCAGACCTAAGGCCAGGCGCTGCCAATACAATGGGAAAGGGTCTTGCGGAGGTTACAGTCTAATGGGGCAAGGGCTGCCCACTGGTTCTTCTTCTTCCTTGCCAAGACCCTTCCCACTGGAAGCACAAAAAGTAAAGTGATCAGAGAATCCAGCTCTTGTCCAGGCACAATAGTTCATGCCTGTAATCCCAGCACTTTGGGAGGCCAAGGCAAGAGGATCATTTGAGGTCAGGAGTTCGAGACCAGTCTGGACAACAGGGCAAAACCTTGCTTCTACTAAAAATATAAAAATTAGCCGGGCATGAGGTTGGGCACCTGTAATCTCAGCTGCTCAGGAGGCTGAGGCAGGAGAATCGCTTGAACCAGGGAGGTGGAGGTTGCAGTGAGTCGCGCCACAGAGCAAGACTCCACCTTAAAAAAAAAAAAAAAAAAAAAAAAAAAAAAAAAAAAAAGAGAAGAATCCAGCTCTCATTCATTCTTCCCCCAAGAGGGGAGTGGTAAAGACAGCTAACAATGGCTAAGTACGCCTTGTGTATTTCTAGCATTTCACATGTATTAATTAATTCCATCCTCACTATTATCTCCATTTTACAGATAAAGAAACTCAAGCATAGACAGGTGATGTAACTCCTCCAGTGTTGCCCAAGTAGTAAATGACACGGCTGAGATTCAGTCCCAGACAGTGTCCAGGCCTTTCCTACTCTTCCACACTGCCCGGTCCCCACACCCTAAAAGCCCCAGCAAGAATTATTCAGTTAGACCACGAGCTCTCAACTGGGGCTGATCTGTTCTCCCAGGGGCCACTGGCAACACGTGGAGATGCTTTTGGTTGTCACAACTAGTGGAAGTGCTACTGGTGTCTAACCAGTTAAGGACAGGCATGCTTGCTAAACATCCTACACAGTGCACAGGAGAACCCCAATAACACAAAATCACCCAGCCCAAAATGTTAACAGTAGCAAGGCTGAGAAACCTGGATTAGACGGCAGACTAAAACAATAGTGAACTTCTCAGAAAAATGCCAACGTACATGATAGGGGTGGTGGGGGTGCCCCACTGCCTGCAGCGTGACTTTGGTGGAAAACTTTCTGTAGGTGGAGTCCCAGGCGTAGACCAGAAAATGGATCTGTGGGTTATGAAGTTGTACAGGCCTTTTGACTGTAATCACACCATCTGTGCCCACTTTGAATCGGGTGTCAACAGAAAAGTAGGCTGTCCTTGGTCGACCGGTGCAATCTTCAAAACTCACTGCAGGGCAGAAATCAGAGATTAGGAAATTGGACAGATTAAAGACATGAGCATTCCTTCTCCAAAGAGCAAACTTGATTCACCCACCAGAAGCCTCCCACAAAACCAAACACAACAAAAGAAACCATGATCCGGGGACAGAACAATAAAGCTATTGCCATAATGTTCTTCACAATTATAGGGTAATTTCATTTTGCTCTGATTTCTTTCTCATCTTCTTGTCAATTGACAATATTATCTTGCCTAGAAAGTAACTTCTTGGCCCGGTGTGGGGGTTCATGCCTGTAATTCCAGCACTTTGGAAGGCCAAGGCAGGCGGATTACCTGAGGTCAGGAGTTTGAGACCAGCCTGGTCCAACATGGTAAAACCCTGTCTCTATTAAAAATACAAAAATCAGCCGGGTGTGGTGGTGGGCACCTGAATTGCAGCTACTCAGGAGGCTGAGGCAGGAGAATCGCTTGAACCCGGGAGGCAGAGGTTTCGGTGAGCCAAGATCGCACCACTGCACTCCAGCCCAGGCAACAGAACAACGTTTCATCTCAAAAAAAAAAAAAAGTAACTTCTTTTTTTATTTTTTCTTTTTTAAGATGGGGTTTCACCATGTTGGTCGGGCTGGTCTTGAACTCCTGGCCTCAGGTGATCTGCCCGCCTTGGCCTCCAAAGTGCTTGGATTACAGGCATGAGCCACCATGCCCAGCCTCTTTTTCTTTTTCTTTTGAGACGGAGTCTCATTCTGTTGCTTGGGCAGGAGTGCAGTGAAGCCATCTCGGCTCACTGCAACCTCCACCTCTCGGGTTCTAGCGATTCTCCTGCCTCAGCCTCCCAAGTAGCTGGGACTACAGGCATGCGCCAACATGCCTGGCTAATTTTTGTATTTTTTTAGTAGAGACAGGGTTTCACTATGTTGGTTAGACTGGTCTCGAACTCCTGACCTTGTGATCCGCCCACCTCCGCCTCCCAAAGTGCTGAGATTACAAGTGTGAGCCACCTCACCTGGCCATAACTTCTCTTTTTCAGTAACAACAACAAAAAAGAGGCTGTTCAATCCAATGACTCTTGCCAGTCAGCATGAGAACAGATCACTACCATAACTGAGACTGAAGACCTATTGTGCCCAGAAATTAGTGCCTAATAATAAAATGCTATGGGTAATCCACATTTAAATAAGGCATTTACATTTAGAACAGCAGTAGCAGATAATGAGAGCACTAGCATGGAATAATGGTTAAGAGCAGACGCTAGACCAAACTATCTGGGTTCAAGTCCCAACTCTGCCACTTATGAGCTCTGTGACTTCAGGCAAGTTACTTAACCTCTCTATGCCTCAGTCTACCTAACTGTAGAATGATGGCAACAATAGTAACTATTATTTTTCTGAGACAGAGTCTCACTCTGTCACCCAGGCTGGAGTGCAGTGGTGCGATCGTGGATTGTTTTAAGGTACATAGAACAGCACCTTGCACATAATAAGCATTAAATAAAAAATTTAAAAACAAATGTAGCTTTGAGTAATCATTGATTCAGCCCCCATGAGTATTCCACAAAAGTCACTGATAATCAATAGTTACTGAGTGCTGATTACATGCTTACTGTCTGAGGAACAAAGAGATATTACCTACTTGCAGTGTGGGGCACAGAGGAGAAACTGATCAACTGATCACTGTCAGTTTAGAGAGATGGTGAAGGTTTCATAGGAAAGTCTTTAACCTGACCATGCAGGGTAGCAAGACAAATGCCAAAGGCAGAAAAGGACTGCTTGGGTGGAGAATGTTATGACCAACAGCTTAGAGACAAAACCACTTAAAGCTCTATAGCTATTAAAGTATTAAAATTTTAATAAGTATTAATATTGGCCAGGCACAGTAGCTCATGCCTGTAATCCCAGCACTTTGGGAGGTTGAGGCCGGTGGCTCATTTGAGCCTAAGAACTTGAGACCAGCCTGAGCCACATAAGGAGACCCCATCTCTTACATACAAAAAATAAAAATAAAATTAGCTGGGTGTGATGGGGCTGGATACCTGTGGTTCCAGCTACTTGAGAAGATGAGGTGGTAGGATCACTTGAGGCCAGGAGATTGAGGCAGCAGTGAGCCATGATCACACCACTGCACTCCAGCCTGAGGGACAAAGTAAGATCATCTCAAAAAACAAAACAAAACAAAACAAAACAAAACAAAACAAAAAAAACCACAAAGGCCAGTTGTGGTGGCTCACACCTGTACTCCCAGTACTTTGGGAGGCCATGGTGGGCAGATCACTTAAGGTCAGGAGTTCAAGACCAGCCTGGCCAACACGGTGAAACCCATCTCTACAAAAAATACAAAAAAAAAAAAAATAGCCAGGCTTGGTGGTGGGCACCTGTAATTCCAGCTACTTGGGAGGCTGAGGCAGGAGAATATCTTGAACCTGGAAGGTGGAGGTTGCAGTGAGCTGAGATCGTGCCACTTCACTCCAGCCTGGGCAACAGAGTCAGACTCCTTCTCAAAAATAAAATAAAATAAAAACAAAGTATTAAAACTTTAAAAAGTATTAATACCCTAAAGCTGGAGAAGCTGTGGTTGAAGCATCTACACTACACATTAGAATCTCAAAGGACTCATTCAAATAGGTGACCATCAAGCTATATGCCAGACAGTGTTGGACTGTGAGAAGAAAATCGTGATGAAGATAGTTAAGGCTCCCACTCTCACTGGGCTTACACTACTGAGGAAGAAATGGACAAAGACAGAAACTTGTAATTTCAGGCAGTAAGTAATAGAAAGTAAAATAAAAGAGGGTGACGTAAGAGTGACAGAGGAGAAAGGAGTTTGCTGAAGAGGTAACTTATATTGTGTGGTGAGGGCAGGCCTTTCTGAGGCAGGGCTACCTTGGGACCTGAAGGAGCCATTGCAGAAGCCTGGCTCAAAGAGGCTTCCAGGCAGAGGGGAATAGTCGATAAAACCATTCATTCTAGGAAACTCTCAGCTTGGCCTGTTTTCCTCCCTTTCAAATAATTGTCTGATGGAATTTCCATTACATCCAAGTGCTCTTTTATAAAAATTCCTGCTGTCCTGACTATTTTACAAGGCTAGACACGAGGATCAGGTTTCTGCCAGAAAGCCCTGAAGCCAACCCTGACGCCTGGGCAGCAGTTCTCATTTCTTCCACCAGGGGCCACCCTTGCAAACATTTCTGAAGCTAACAGCCCTGCCCATGCCGGAGAAAAATAAGCCCACATTTGGGGGTAAGAGCGGAAGTACCAGATTTTCTCCATTTTGAAGATGAAACTGAGGCTCACAGAGGTTAAGAAATTTACCTGACATCCTGAAACTAGTAAATGGTACAGCTGAGACAGGCCCTTAACATGGGTTACAGTCCCCTAGTTGCCTCCTCTTCTCTCTGGAGAGATTCTACTAAGGCCTTGGTTTTGTTGTTTTTGTTGTTGGTTCTGTTTGTTGTTTGTTTGTAGAGGTGGGGTCTTGTTATGTTGCCCAGGCTGGTCTTGAACTCCTGGGCTCAACCAATCTTCCCGCCTTGGCATCCCAAAGTGCTAGGATGACAGGCGTGAGCCACCGTGTTCAGCCAACCCTGGTTATTTTTAAAGGAAGATTCTGCCTCCAAGCTAAGTTCTCAAGGATGGGATTGGAGGCTACCCCATGGAATAGCTGGGGTCTGCTACCTGGCAAATAAAGTGAGCAACCAAACCACGAAGAGTTCATTCACAGGAAGGGAGCTGGGTCCTTCAGCGTCATCCACCCGATCCTCCCTCTCAGTTAAAAAAAAAAAAAAAAAAAATCACCACCAGGCCCCACCCCTACCCTGTCAGCTCTTAGACTGGGTCTACAACTTACTTCCACAGCTTGAAGGGAAGGGTAGGGGGAGCTGGGGGGAGCTGTAATAAATGATGGGAAGAAGAGAGACAAGGAAAAAGTGCTGGGATTACAGGAACATGCCACCACAGCCAGCTAATTTTTGTATTTTTAATGGAGACAGGGTTTCACCATGTTGGTCAGGTTGGTCTCGAACTCCTGACCTTGTGATCTGCCCGCCTTGGCCTCCCAAAGTGCTGGGATTACAAGCGTGAACCACCACACCTGGCCCCTTGTGATGACATTTTCTAAGTTAAAAAGCAATGCAAGTAGAAGAGATGACTTATTTCTGTGTATTTGGGTAGAAAAGTATTTGCTAACTGAACAGCTGAGCCGTAAGATGATGAAAGAATCAAGAAGAAATGTCAAGTCCTTAAAGGATGGGCAGATACCATCCTTTTAAGTCTAAAATAGGAATTTCTTTTCAAACTAGCAAAACCAGATGCTCTTCAAAGAGCCCTCCTCCACCCCCAGCAGAGGTAATGGGGCAACTGGGTCATCTTTGGGGGCTTGTCACGTAAACAGGGAATGAGGGCTGCACTGAATTCCTTTATCCTGCTTTCCCAAATCTAGGCAGTGAAAGTTGAGACAAGCATGATTGGACTTGCCAAGGGTGGAGGCCTGAAAAAATGAAAATGGTTTTGCAAATAACTTGATGCAAGGCACTTAACCTGCTTTGGGGCACCTCATCTTAATGGTGGTTAAGCCCTAGCCTTTGAGAAGTGACAGCATAAGTATGATGGGGAGCCCCAACCTGAATTCCAGGTGTTCACAAGACTCATTATGTCCCCACGCAACCTGATCCTCTGGGCTGATTAAAGGAAATTATAGGAAAGACTGAAAGGTTCTCCAGCTCTGGGAAGCCCACTGTAACCTTGGCGAGGGCTGGGCTGTCTCTGAGCCCAGAAAGTGGGAGGAAAGAAGAGTGGCAAAATGTTCAAACTGGAGGATCAGTATATGGGGATTGGGTATATTTTGACGTTTTCATGATGAACAGCTAACAAGAATAAAGCTAGCAAGGGTGTAAGTATTCTTTAACACAGCATGCCCACCTTTCATAAACTTATTTGGTCACTTGATGTAAAAACCAAATCCCTATAAAAGGAGCTAAGACTCTACTACTGGCCATCTCCGTGTGGGAAAATTTTTTT